ATCCTTTTAACAAGGTTCTTCTACTGGAAGCTGGGGACAGACCTAACTTAGCGAATGATATTTATGGCCTAGCTTTGAGTACAGGTAATCCAAGATTGAATTGGAATTATACGTCGCTCCCACTTAAAAGAAATGGGCAAGGATTACGAGGAAGGGTAAAGTTATTCTATATTTTCAAACTTACTTTTAACAAGTTTTCAAATTAATCTGTTTTCAAATTATTTTCCATATTATAGCGCCTTCCAGCAACAGCAGGTAGAATTTTGGGTGGTTCAGCTTCAATAAATGCCGGTCTCTACTTTCGAGGTAACAGACGTTACTACGATAATTGGGCTCGAAATGGTGCTATCGGTTGGGACTGGAAAAGCGTTTATCCTTATTTCTTAAGGATGGAAGATAATCGAGATGTTGGGATTGTTGCAAACGGTAACATTCATCAGGGTTTTATAATGTCTATGTTATAATTTTATTAAATATAATAATTATTTGTAGGTTATCACGGTGTTGGTGGTGATTTAGTTGTTCAATTTTCACCTTTTCACACTGCATTAGTGAAAGCATACAAAGAAGCAGCGAAAAGTATTGGTTATCCGTATGGAGATTATAATGCAGAGCATCAAACTGGTAAAGGAATATCAAATGTTTTATGTTAATAAATAAAAATGTAAGAAAATGAAATAATTTAAACTATTTAATTGGCAGATTTTATGCAGCCACAAGGTGTAATTAATCGTGGAATAAGATGGAGTGCTGTAAGAGGATTTATCGATCCTATAATCGGAAGAAGGAATTTTCGTTTGATCACTTCAGCATTTGTAACTAAAGTATGCAAAAAGTACATTTTAAGTATAGTTATTTAATATTATTGAAGATAAATTGGAATTGTCAGGAAATCAGAGCAAATATTTCAGCGTATTTGTTATATTTAGGAATTTATGATAATTATTAGATTTATTGCCTACTTATGTTTATAATGATAACAATCTTCACATAATAATATAATATTAGGTTGTTGCAAATGAAATTACCGACTTTTACTTGAAGACTTTCCTTGCCAAAAAACTGTCCAAATGTATAAAAAAAAAGTGATATTCTGTTTGCAAAAATCTACGGAATAAGACGGATGGGGAAGAATTTCATTTGAATACTTTTATTTTTGTGATGAATAACTAAAGAACTGCAGACCTCCAAATGATGCTTCTCATCTCTCTCACTGAGTTCGAGTGGTACCCATTTGTCGAGCTTCTTGACTTTCCTAACATGTTTAGATGTCGAGAAACGATTGAATAATGTTCAGTATGTTCAACTTTTCCCAGACAATCAGGTGATCTTCTGATTCGACGATGTTCTTCAATTCTGATTGTATTTTCGGAATGAAATTTTCTGAACTAATTAATGTCTGGTAGTCTGCTCATTCACATAACCTTCACCAAAAGTTTTAATTGGTGTTTAGGGTTGCTTAAGCTGCAATATGTCACTGATTATACTCTTAAAAGAAAATTGAATAATTTTATTTTTTTCCTATGCCATCAGAAAAAGTACTCTTAATTTAAACATATGGAACACACAATACAAATGATATAGCATTTTTAAATTCGATTATTATATGCGTGCTATTTCAATTGCAAATATACACCATTATAGAATAATCGAAACTTTGATTATGTGTTAAAATAGAATTTATGTTGAAATAACTCGATTTTCTGAATGCATATATGTTACATTATTTCTTATTATGATTATATAATCTTCGAAAATAAGACAGAATTCTTGTAAGTTAAAAATTAAAATAATCTGTTCAGTGGAATGCAAAGTTATAATCAGCAAATTATTGCTTAACTGTAGACTAATTTCTTTAAAACAAAAAAGTAAGTTTTTTTATTATCATTTGCCGTATCATCATTGTAGTCTCTAGGCTTGTCTAGGTTTTTGCAAGTTCAGATGATGATTTTATCATAATTTTCTTATCCTGTTTCAATTTTTTCTGTCTTCCCTTGTGTTCTTTTCATATTATCCTACCAAAATACCTAAATTCTATTTTAAGTGTATCGGGTTATTGTAAATGAGAAATTTAAACATTTTGAAAAAATTTATTGATTTATTATTAATTAACTCAACAATTATTATACTTCAGTCTTGTAGGTAATCACCATCAATATCAATCATATTTCTTCATCTTTGTTGCAAACTTTCAATCTCGGGGTGTAGAATCATGGGTTTTTTTTGAAGAAAGTCTCAAGTGTCATTCTCACATGGGTATTGTCATTGAATTGCATAGTGGCAATATAATTCTACGGTACGCAAAATGGAAGGTTGGCGCCAAATCTAGACTGTTAGGTGAATGCGGCAGAACTTCTCAACCTTGAATGACCAGCTTGTCTTAGGTCATTTTTGCTCTATATGCCGGCGTGTTATCGTGGTGGTATCGGAATTTCTCGATTTTTGGAGTGTATGGGGAATAGTCAAATTGTGCTAATTCTCTGATCAACCGTGGATTATCGTCTATCAGTTGCAGGAGAACATCATTAATAATGAAATCCTGCCCGGATAGGATTTATCCTGAAGTTAGAAATCTCATCCTTGAATTTCTTGTATCAATTGTAACAGGTCTGCTGTTGACTGTTCTCACCAAATGCCTTGCAGATGAGATCGTGAGCCTTCGTTGTGTTGTGCCACTTTTGAAGTTGATACAGCAACAGCACGCAAATGTCTTCCTTCAAACCTTTCATACCGTTGGAAATTGCTGATGCATCTACTTCCAATGAAATATGTAATAAAACGCCCATTGAATACTCTACGTATACATCTACATAGAACGTTTTATAATTTATCTTTTTAGTCGTTTCTAGAGAAGTCTGATAAGAACTTAGTTTTCTCTTTAATAATCTTTTTCGGCATTCGTTTGCATAATAATACTTCAATTACTTTACCTTTTATATTAAAAATATTGAAATTTAAGTTAATATTTAATATTTTATATTATAAGATAATTAAAAGTATCGGTTTATAATTATTTCAGATATTAATTGACGAAGATAATAGAGCTTATGGTGTTTCATTCGATCACGACGACAAAAATCTCACCGCATTTGCAAGAAAGGAAGTGATAATATGTGCAGGAACTTTGAATTCTCCTAAATTACTTATGCTTTCGGGAATTGGACCGAAAAATATTCTACACAATTTACACGTCAGTACCATTATTTTAATATTTCAATGTTAAAATGTTATCATATTATAGAGTTATATACAAAAATTTTTTTATGATTTAGAAGTTAGATGAATTACTTTAATATGGGAGAGATTACTAAAATTATTAATAGTTCACTTATTTTTGAATATATAATACTCTAGAATAAACTAATAAGTATTATTCCTTAGATACCAGTGAAAGCTGATCTTCCTGTAGGGAATAATCTACATGATCATGCTTCGACTACAACAATGCAATTTCTTGTTAACTCTGATACGTTTTCGGAACATCGAACTACTAAAGAAGATTACCAGCAAATTCTAATTAATGGAACCGGTAATTTATTTTAAATAAATTTTTCATAAATTTTCTTTAAATTATTACTTCTATAATATAAATATTTTGATTAGTAAATTTGAAATTGTTTTGATGAATAAATTTTAGAACATTTTTTTCTTCCACGTGGTATTACTGCTGTTATCTTAAAAGATGGAGAGAGATGTCTTAAACTACCTACCAAAAATATTCGTGAACCCAGATTTCACAAAGAGTCAGCCCTTCTACTTGGATAAGGTGGGATAAGATAATAACTTAATCCACGTAAAAAATATGTGTTACAGAATCTGCAACAATAAAATACCAGCAAGTAAAATGGATACGAACTTTCTCATAAAAAAAACGGAACATGAGTTTTATTCTGGAATGTTGAGATAATGTGGCAAACTCTCGAAGGTAATGGAGAAGTCTGAATGATATAAACTTCAACCCTTTATCCTCAGCAAAATTCATTGGAATAATTTTTAAAAGACATAAATTAGTCAAAAGATGCACATTATTTTATTAAGGTGTTAGAAAGATGATTGCACGAGGAAATTTTTTGGCGTTGCTTATGACTCACATATTGTGGAATAATCTTTTTGAATGATAATCTATTTCGGAACACGTCATCCAGCGAGTTAAAATCGCGTAGGAGACTTGTCTTCATTGTCACCGATTGAGTTTTTCCAAGGAAAAAAAAAAACACTTTTACGATGAACTGTAAGAAGAGTATAGTGGTGGAAAGAGAACACAAGGTAACTACTGGAAAATCTTAACGTTAGAATAAATAACTTTAATACTAGCTCGTAACAAGAGATGAGTAGATAAGGAATAGCACATGAAAAAATAATATAGTAAGATTAAAGCAAAACCTTTTGGTTTTGTTATTTGTAGCACGTTGCTTCCACACCTGAATTCTGTAAAATGTCGAAACTTTTTCCTGTATCAAACAGAAAATCAAATTGATCTATTTGCTATTAATGAAAAATAGTAGCATCTTTATTTGATATTCGGAACAAAAGTGAATAGTATTTCGGAAGAGACCACGTAATGAAACGGAATAGTCACATCCAACAGCTAATATGCAAGAAGAAATGGGCATTGGCACGAAAAAGGGTGATACAAAATCAACATCACAAAATCATGTGAAAGTAAACTCGATTAGAAGAATGGATTTTCAAGATACGTGGAGCACAATCCAACAAAATAAAGAAGTAAGTAAAAACTAAATGGAGACAGTAAGAGATATAAAAGCATTAAGAGATCTCTCTATTTTAAACAAAGAAGAGGGAATTCAAACAAACAAAACTAAATAAATACACGCAAACCAAATAAAACTGATAGCTCTATAGGAAGTAAAACATTATTCCATAACTTT